AAAAAAATTTTTTTTTTTCTTTTTCTATTCTGACACGGCTCCGTGTCAGAATAAAAAAAAAAGAAACAGCAGTGTATCTCTCCTTGGCGGCCGGGAGCGAAAGACTTCCTGGAGGGCCAGGTAGAGTTTGCTGTTTGGAGATCAGTGTCCCTGGTTAGCAGGTAACCAGGGACGCTGATCTCTCTGTAAGTGGCCGGAGCCAGCCGTAAGATCACGGCTGGCTCCGCCCAGCTGTCAGAAGCAGGCTGTCGGCCGGCCGCTTGGCCAGCTTCGGCTTTCACCGCAGCTCAGCCAAGCCGACGCATATGCGTTCGGCTCGACTGAGCCGCTCGGCCACGTTCGGGAGCTGTACGGGCTATAGTGAATAGGGGCTGAAGCTAGCCGAAGGATCGGCTGAAGCTACGGCTAGATCCTTCGGCAGCTTCGTGAATAGGCCCCCTAGATTGTTCACTTCTCCTGCCTTCTCCAAACTCTTCACCCTGTTGTGAATAACCCTGTGAACGTTGCATGGCGTTGGTTCACCTGGTCTAGAAGTTGCTAAAAGATACATGTCTTGACATCATGCCTTGACATGTCTACAGCAGCTTACTGGTAGAAAACTAATTTCATAGATCATTTTGACAGACGGTATAATAATTGTAACATCCTTGCTTTATGCATTCCATTCCTTTGTCCTTAATTCTAACGTAATCCTAACTGCCTTTTATGTTTATCAGAATCTCATTCTTCTGTTCTTAGGGTTTGAGTACCCTGGTTCTATCCACATTGTATATAAATTATTATTATTATACAGGTTTTATAAAGCGCTAACAGTTTGAGCAGCGCTTTACAATATAAGGAAGACATTACAGTTACACTACAAGTCAAGACAAGATTGTAAGGGGGGCCCTGCCCGTGAGAGTTTACAATCTAAAATGTAACACTAAATTCAGTTTTTGACTGGTTAATAAAGGGTATAGTTTAAAATGAAGTAGGTTTGTTTAAAATGTTAGTATTTTTTTATTCGTTGTAAATATTTGTGTGTATTGGGATTAACTTATTTATACTGCTTATTGTTTTTTGTTCACTGTATGCAAATGTTTTTCATTGTGCTTACAACCACAAAATATTTGTTTCTGAAATAAAGCTTTTCTTATGGTGAAAAAAGACACAATAACATGATTTAAGGCTTGAGTACATGGACATTAAATTCAAAGGTCAGGCAAATGTATTCACAGATAGGGTTTAAAAAAACGGAGAGATTAATTTTCCCAAAAATATCTGTGAAAATATTGGGATTTGCCATTTGGCACAATGCATTGTAATCAATAGAGCGATATAAAGGTGGTTTTTAAGAATGTAATGGGTGTTAAATGGCTCCTGCAGGAGGATTATGAAGGTTCCTTGCAACTTGTTTTGTAAAAACAGACAGCCCTTCATTAGCCCTATACATATGTTTTTTTTCAAAGCCTCTCATTAGCCCTGTACATATATTTGTTTTTCACAAATAGAAAAAAGTTAATTAAACAATTTAAAGCATTAGTACACAAATAACAATGAAATATAATTCCCCCTCCCTTTTAGATTGTAAGCCCTCAGGGGCAGGGCCCTCCTTACCATCTTGTCTTGAATTGTATTGTGATTGTAATGTCTTCCCTATATTGTAAAGCGCTGTGCAAACTGGTGGTGCTATATAAATCCTGTATAATAATAATAATAATAATAATATACACAAAAAGGAAAACATCACAAAAAAACAAAAAGTGAAAGAAGCTAAACTACCCTAAATAACCCCCCATCCCAACCCAAAAAAACCACACCTTCACCACAATAAAAACATGTTTATTCTTAGAAACCTAATACATTATATTTATTTTGCAGCAAAATCAATTTAGTTTAAATCATTCTGCTCATCCCTTTTCACAAAAAAAGATTTTTTACATAATTTTCGAAGAAATGTCCCACCTTCAAGAAGTTATAATGCAGCAAAATAGGTTATGCCCCATTTTGAAAAAACACAGTGCAATGCAACAAGTGGCAAAAGCAAAACTAGCAACATTCCTCCATACAATCCAATGCAGAATTCCAATGCTTAGTTCCACATCCTTCAAAAATGTACTATATGTAACCAGCAAGACATAAAACACCCATATGTGCAAGCCCTTATGTTCTTAATTATTGGCTAAGTTCATGGAATGTGTTAAGAGAATGCTTTATGTAAACTCATGGAAACTTTTTCAGCTTTAAACACCTAGATTAGGTGAAACTTAATTATACTTAAACCTCACTTATCACACACAATTTACAAACTAAAGAACATTCTACAATCTAAAGAATTAGTAGCAAGCTAATGAAATGTTTCCATTTAAGAGCAAAATTAAATTATTGGCATACATCTATTGTTTGCTATTGATGTCCAAAACAAAACAGAAAGTAGCTTTATAAAAATACTGAAACATTAATTTTACATTTTTAACAAGCTTTTATGTCCTGTCTGTTAATATGTGGCATGTTCTGTGTGCTACAGTTTAAATATCTATATACTATCTTAATAGGTCTTCTAAATGTATTCCTTAGCCCTGTGCATTATTATAAATCCTATTAGTACACTTTACAGAAGGATATACAATAAATGTACATCTTATAATAAATGATGATGCTGTATAAAAAATATTTATAGTTGCTATAAATAGATTGTACATGCATACATGTATTTATATAAAACAGTCATATTAATGGTAACATAAATCTGCCATGTTAACGGAATAAACAATTATACTTACAGATTTTGCACTGACTGTGAAACGGTGTTGGGCTCAAGAGATAACTCCAATGTCCCTCTTCCTTAATACTGCTAGCTCTCAGAAAAAGAGGCTAAGTCTAAGCTTTACATAAAGAGCTGCACTATGAGGGGATGAGTGTGGTAAACTGTGATACCAAGCAATCTCTGGGATCATTTCAACAAAAGTTTCAGAGCACACTCCATCTTCTATTTTATAACGGGATGAAAGAATACACTATGAGTATATAAATATACCAGGGATTAAGATGGATTTCAGAAAGGCCATTGGGAGGGGTTTGATCAACAGTGGACTTAATCCAGTACATTGACATTTAAAAAGAAGAGAAATAACTTGCAGTGTTAAAGTCTCTATGACTTATCAAAAGAATTCTCATTAAAGATATTTGTGTCTTCCTCTCTAGGTAAACAGAATTTGGGTTCAATGATTGGGTGTACTTAAAGTGGATGTAGCATCACATATATTATTTTATGTTAAAGTGTATGTCAAGCAAACATTTTTTTTTATTCCGAGTTTTAGATAGAGTGGAAAAGTATAAAAAGCCCTTGGCAAATTTTACTGCTATCTGGGGCTCTGTTGGAGAGAATAACGTTTTGGCTGGACATACACTTTAAGTGCATCCTTCTACAGAAGGATGGGGCTCTCTTAGTTCAGACATCATCCAGGGTTACCATTAGAGATAAGCCTGGGCTTGGTGTGAACCCAGTTCATCCAAGTTCACCCAAGCCGGCTCAAAACTCTGACCGCCACCCCCTCCAACCTGACCCTCCGACCTAATGAGTTGCACGTATGTGCATTCCCCACCCTGCAGCTAATGATCACAAAGGTGCGGGGAAATAACCCCCGCAACTGGTGCCATTGATTGGTTTGGGAGAAGGGGGTGGCAGTCAGAGTTTTGAGTGGACCTGGGCAAACTCAG